TCCCTATTAAATGGTCACTGAGGCCCCTCACGGCCATCGGCCCACTCTGGCACAGTTTACAGCCAAAGTTACTCCCCTTCATTGAAATAAAATCGGGCATGAAATTGAAGGGCTCATATGAGGCTGAGCCGACAGTCTGAACAGAGAGCATCAGACAAAGCTCCTGGGCAGGCAGATGACCTCAACTTTCGCTGGGTTGGAGGCCCTCGGGGTCACTGTAGATGCTTCATCAGTAGGAGGCAACGTCGCCATCGCCCCCTTGTGTTTGGCAGAGGCAAGGTGACCAAGCATTATCTCATACTTGTCACACTTCTTATCACAGAGTCGACAGTACAGCCAGCCGGCCCTCACACCTGCCGGTGGGAGGTGAGGGACGACCATGACACTCCTCGGGGCCACCTACCCGAGCCATAGTCCCGACCATTGGAGACCACCACGCAGTTCCGGCTGAGGACCCCAAGCTGGTCCACCGTCAAAGTGCCTAGGCCGAAGGGAGCCGGAAGAAGGCCCGTCTCCATCTTGAGATGCCTTCGAGGCTCTCTTGAGCCCTGATCGGCTCCAGGGTGACCGGCCTGCTGACCTGACAGGATGGGGTATCGTCGTGATAGAGGAAGTCCTGCCCACCCCATGCCCGTGACTGCTGCCAAGCAGAGGACGCAGGCGACTGGCTGCCATCTGTACTCTCCCCATCCTCTTCCTTCACGTGCCCGACACTCCAGCCACTCGCTATCATAGCGAAAAAGGGCGGAAGAGGGCGAGCCTATTCGCTACCCTGTACCACCACACTGAAGTCGAACACTTCATTAGTGATAGAAACCTTCAACACCTTCACAATACATGGTAAACGACTTAGTGTCTTCGCGGACTGTCCCGACCGAGACAATAAATGCGAAGATCAGTGGCTTCTCTGGCTCCTATGACCATCTACCCATCCAGGGGACAGCAGACGACCGTTAGGAGCATACAAGAGCCTCTCCACCCTACAATATGGGACCATCTCATCAACGACAGGTTCAGGCGGAGGTGGTACGGCAGCAGAGCGGCCGACTCAGAGGAGGGGGAGAATGCCTAACCATCCACCCCTAAGCGACCCTCCGCCTTTTCAAACCTACGCTATCTTGTGTGACTGGTGACCGGCTACCATTAGCAGCCTCGACGACCTGGGCCCTCCAAGCCTCTCCATGAGCCCTATACTCCCCTCTCAGCCAGTGTTGGGATATATGTGCGTATTTTCCCACACTGCTCTCAGCTGCAACAGAGGCCCACTCCTGGCCATTGAGATGCGCTTCCACACACCACGACGTCGGGTTCTTATAATCCTTGGAAACTCCGGATTGTCCACCACAGGGGGCTTGCCTACTCCGGGCCCTAGCAGCAGTAACAGTAGCCCTTCAAGTCGCTTACCCCTCCCACCACTCTGCCCAAGAATCCATCATCTGATCCAGGGCATGACCAGCCTTGCGTGCCTGTCCCTCCCCCTGGTCAGTCCAGACCTTCCCCCCTCTATGAGCCCCAAAGAGGAACTGCACGTGCGATTGAGAATTTCAATAACAAAACAGCGCAGCGAACAGAACTCCTGGCCCAAGCCCTGTTGTATACTTATCGTAGCAGTAATGGCTCCTTGATCCCACCAAAGGCATAAGCCCTACTATCGCGTAACGCCACAGGGGCTCAAGCCTGTGTACCTGCTATGAGGGTAACGGTCCTACTACCAGAGTATGCCCATCCCATTGGCTGGCAGCTCTAACTCCACAGCCCTCCAGGAAGGCTAGAGCTGCTCACCAGTGAAGAGGCCCATGCTCGGCCCTCAACGAAGCACCCCCGTGTCATGTACATGTGCCTACTGCTGCACACAGGCACTTCCCTGCACCAATCGATTGGGGTTCCTAGGAGGTGTCAACATGAGCCCAGAGACTCGTCCTAGTGGCGTACAGCATCATGCGCAGTAGCCTTGAAAGCTGTTACTTGAGTGCTTCGATGAGCATCCAACTACTCCACTCTACTACCGTCACGCGCCCCGAAATTACTATCGTGAATAAACTCTCCTCAGAGAGATCGTCGGACCTAACCGTCCGTTCACATACGCCTCTCTGCTGAGTAACAACTGGAGGCAATTTCGTGGCGCGTGACGGTGAAAAATCAGCAATCGCGCACGCCCGAGGCCTGCTAAAATCGTCAGTCACACTTGGATGTAATTTCCCTATTCTTTCCTCTCGCTAACCTCAGTAGACTTTCCCCAGAGGGTCACGCCATAGGGTTAGTCTCGTTAAACACGAAGTAGTTTTCTCTCATCGGTTTTAGGTGACTCTGTTTAGTCATCAATGTCATACTATCAATCGCCGTTCGGTCAGAATACTGCGGGAGGCCCGGGCCCATCGTCAGTGCCGGTCCAATCCTCACCTTTCCCAGGAGGGGCCCCTCAGATGGCGCCCCCGCCTCAGGCTGGACAACAGGCTAGTGGTATGTGGGGATTAGCGGGAACTCCCTCACAATAGGGGCGTCTTATATCGCAGGTCCTTACGGTGCGCCACCACAAATGCCTGGTGGTCAGCATCCCATGGCGCCCCCTATGGGCCAGCCCAGCGTGGGACCACCTCCCCTACCTGGGCAGCACATGCCAGGCCCTCCGCCATCCTATGGTACTACAAGCCTCCATGGGGTTCACTTGAGCCACTTTTCCTCCTTAGCGTCTACTCCCACCAACGCTGCTCCAGGACAGGCTTTCGAGTACGTGGCACCCGGACCTGCACTCAACCAATCAGCAGCGATGGCCCATGGGGGCATGGTCTCTCATGGGGGAATGGCACCTGGAGGGGGTCAGGTTTTGGAGGTAGGCGGACGAGCGCTGGGGATAAGTGATGCCCATCTGTAGACTGCCGAGTGTGACCCAGCCCTTAATGCGCGGCCCGAGTTCCTCAGAAGCAGCTTCAGTGTAATGCCTGCTAGCGAATCTACTCAAGTGAAGGCCAAGCTGCCTATAGGTGAGATATTCTATCCCAAAGGTCCAGGGTTCAATTCTTGGTACAGGTTTTTTCTGCCAGCCTTTGGCCCCCACCGACAGCCAGGTTCCCGTCGCTGATGTGATTCATCGATGCGCCCGGTGTCGGACGTAATATTCGTACTATCTGTTCTCCCTAAGCAGCAGCTCTTCAGGTATCTCAATCCGTTCGCTGCCCTCAACTTGCAGTTGCGGAGGTGGATCTGTAACCTCTGTGGCCACTCCAATGGGATTGACGTTTACGAGCCCCCACCGGAGATGACCTGTGGCACAGTAGATTTCATCGCCACTCAGGACTATATGGTATAGCTCGGAAAGCCGCTCGCGGTGGTGCCTGATAATGGTCGCAGGTTCGACCCCCGGTACCTCCAGTTTATGTCTTCTGTTTCGAGAAGAGTTACACAGCAGTGTCCACGGGGTTGGTCCGTGTGGCAGCTACTGCTATAAAGGACACTCTCCCGAGTCTACCTGAGCGGTCACAGATCGCCCTCATGACATTTGATGACAAGAGTGTGAGCATCTTCGATTTGCAGGTGAGGCCACCCCCCAATGTAGAGCACGTGTTATTCCCATGGCACCTTCTTCAGAGTGCGAATGGTACGGAATATGTGATTACTGATGTGGACGATCCCTTCCTACCTAAGCCCATGGATAGCCTTCTAGTGAACGTCTATGATGATGCTGTTAATGCCACTATTAATAACGTCCTCGACAGCCTCGCCGAGATGAACCCTCCATCAGTGGCCACTGACTGCTGCTGTGTCACAGCTGCAGTGAAAATGGCCAACTTGGTCATGCGTCATCTCGGTGGCAAGCTGAGTATCTTCTCGTGCACTAAGCCCATTGAGCTCACACCTAGCAAGTTGAAGAAGGAAGAAAGGGCTCCTGGTAGTAGAGAGATAGGGGTCTATCCTGAGGGCCCCGAACGTGTGTTGCAGATGCCTCGAGCATGATACCACCATCGTCGTCGGTCTTCAAGGATATGACATCGGATCTCATCGCGGTTCAGATCACAGTGGAGCTGTTCGTCGCAACAGACAATTTGCATATGGTAGATGCAGGGTGTGGGGATCGAACCTGCGACTGTCTGATTGTTGCAGGATTTGGCCTCACTAGCGCCTCTTGCTAAGTACACAGGGGGTGACATGCGGTATTATCCCTTATTCCGAGAGGCCTTCCGGGGCGAGCACTTGCGGCAGGATATACAGCACATGCTCACTCGTAAGATTCTCTTCACTGTGACTTTGAAGAATCTTTTCCCAGGCGAGACGGGCTTCGAGGCGGTGATGAAGTTTAGAGTGTCCCCTGGGTACCAACTTAAGAGCTACCATGGGCATCTCTTCCAACGGTAAGGGGCCTCACTTGCTCGATGGGGGCATATGTTGGTGTTTAGGACTCGGGACCTTCTGGTGGCACCCAACTGTACAGAGGATGAGACCTTTGGGTGTATCGTTGAGGTCAACAAGGATGTACTATAGACTACTATGGAATAGTGATGTTGAAAGGTTTGCTTTGTCATTGTCAGTTCTCGGGCCCACAAGCTCGTTCGGTGTGTATACAGGCGGCGTTGTTGTACACGTCCTCGGCTGGCGAGCGCCGTATACGTGTGAACACTTCGCAGTACCCCAAGTCGTTGGATGTAGGATGGCCCTCTGGGCTTGGGTCTTGGGCCTATTGGGGTATCTTAGGTTGAGCAAGTGATGGCTTCATGTGATGCCCAGGCGGCTGCTATCATCATGGGCAAATATGCTATCAATGAGTCGAGGAACGTCAGCGATGCCCGAAAGTAGGGCATGGGGCATTCAGGGGTTTTATAATCGACCTCGTCAGGTACCTCTTGGACACGACCCAGGCAGCCCTGGCAGGTCCTAATGCGCGTCTGGAGAACTTGGAGGCACTCCCAGGGTGAGTGAAGGGCATTGTGAGGGACAGGACGTTGGTTTTGATGGTCAGGTTGGTTCTTGGGCTGCTGAAGAGCGATGTGTTTAGTGCTGCTGGGGACATTACTCGGGATGCACGAGCGTATGAGGCCCACAGGTAATGTGGTGGAGGTCCTTGGGCTTTGCTCATCTCCATCACTTGCAGGTTTGAGTCCCTTCCTATCACTTTGGGAGACGCTTTGGCGGCTCCTAGGATGTTCGG